CACCAGCCAGGCTCCCTGGTACCATGAACCCCCCACGGACATATACTGGGGAGGGGCAACCAGGAACCATCTGACCTCATATATGTGGGGATGCCCAGAAAGTGACCTAAGCACACTGTTCTAGAGCAGCTCCCCCAGTTCTCCCTTTGTCCCAGGGCTGCCCCAAGCCCCAGCCCCTTGGGGAAGGGCCAGTGAGTCCCCCAAGGGACAGCTCGGTCTGTGTGGACAGGAGGGGCCTTGGGAGCGTGGGCCCAACAGAAGGTGCTATGGAAATGCTCAGCACCAGTGCCACCACGTCCGAGGAGGCTGAGGGCCGGGGGGGGACACAGAGCCGGCGAGAGGGAGGTGCTACCCGGCAAGTCACTGCCAGGGGAGCTGGCCAAAGAACAATGCAAACAGGCGTCAGCTCCGATGGCCGAGCGCTCGCTTTCGCCCAGTGAGTCACCAGCCTGGAGAGTCACCAGGATGCAACGTTACATGAGACTATGCGAGCAGGCTCGGAAGCGGTCGGAATTAAGTGCCTGTGCTCTCCCCACCCAACGCCTCCAGTCCCCTTACCTCATTATGATCAGGCACGAGCCCAGCCCAGCCCGGGAAGGGACGGCTCTTCTCCCGGCTCTGCGTTTCCTCCCAAGGTGTCCAAGGGCCCGGCTCTGGGAGATACCCACCTCGCATCTGGGCCCGACTGGACTCTGCCCAGCAGAGAGAGGCTGCCCTTTATGTGCAGGCTGGGCTGTGGCTGGTGACCTCATTGCTTTGGCTGGTGAGAAGAATCGCAACCGAAAGTGAGAGTGAGCCGGAGAAAGTGAAACTGAAATTTCACTTTCAGATACGTGGCTGTTTGTTATGGGCAGCTCCTGGGGGACACTTCTGAGAGCTTCAGTTCAGGTTGAATTGCTTCGAAACCGGGTTACTTCCAGCCCAGGACTGGGGTGCCCTCCACGCTAAAGCACTAAAGCAGCCAGACCCAGCACTTCTGCCTCAGCCTGTCTGGAAAGAGCCCAGCGCTCCAGTGATTACTGCTGCCGGTACAGTCCTTTAGGCTGTTGACAAGTTCTGCTACCTGGGAAGCGTGCTGTCCTCTAGCATAAACGTGGATCATGATGTATCTGCTCGACTAGCCAAAGCCAGCGCTGCCTTTGGGAAACTGAGCAAATGCCTATGGAACGACCATGGTATGAAACGCCGTACCCAGCTAGCTAGTTGTCCTGACTGTCCTGCTGTATGGCTCGGAGTCATGGACAATATATCATTGTCATGTTTTGAACCTCGATCAGTTCCATATGCGTTGTCTGAGGAAGATTGCCCATGTGAACTGGTGGGACAAAATTCCTAATATGGAGGTTCTTAAGCTGTGTGGTGTCATGGGCGTATGGAAGCAATGCTTATGAACCAATAGTTTCATGGAATACTAGGACTGGAAGGGACCTCGAGAAGTCATCGAGTCCAGTCCCCTGCCCTCATGGCATGACCCAGTACTGTCTAGACTAGTGGTCCCCAATGTGGTGCCTGCGGGCACCATGGCGCCCACTGTGGCATTTACATGTGCCCACCAAGTGGTCAGGGCCGGCCGTGCCCCAGGTGCACAGCGCATGCGTGGTGCTGTTTCTGGGCACATGGCACATGGGCAGCGCTGGCCTTGGGCGTGCGGCTATGGGGGGTGCCGACCGCAGGCGCGCAGCGAATGTGCGGCCCCGCACTCGGATGCGTGGCGCATTGTGCCCACCAGGTGCTCGGGGCTGGCCGTGCCCCGGGCGCACAGTGCATGCGTGGTGCTGTTTCTGGGCACATGGCACATGGGCAGCGCTGGCCTTGGGCGTGCGGCTATGGGGGGTGCCGACCGCAGGCGCGCAGCGAATGTGCGGCCCCGCACTCGGATGCGTGGCGCATGGGGGACGCCGGCCCCGGGCACGCGGCTATGGTGGGCACTGGCCCTGGGTGTGCAGCTCCCAGGGGCACTGACCCCGGGCACACGGCTATGGTGGGCGCTGGCCTGGGCCGCACCGGGAATTGGTGGCCCCACCCCCGGATGTGCGGCGCATGGGGTTGCTGGCCCTGGCGTGTGAGTGGCCCCGCCCCCAGGTGCCCGGCAGCTCCAAAAGGTTGGGGACCACTGGTCTAGACCATCCCTGATAGACATTTATCTAACCTGCTCTTAAATATCTCCAGAGATGGGGATTCCACAACCTCCCTAGGGTTTCGCTGCATTGGTCATGTTATGAGGAAGGATGATACACGGACACCAAAGATGGTCTTCTACGGCCAGCTTATTCATGGAAAGCCCTCTATCAGTGGTCAATATAAGCGCTATAAAGACATCTTAAAGGCTAATATGAAGTCATGAGGCATATCTCCCAATGATCTGGAAACTCTAGTTCAGGACAGATTGTCCTGGTAACAAACCATTGTACAGGCTCTTAATTGCTTTGAGAGTCGGTGTATCCAGGCATTGCAGGAAAAGCGGAGGATCCGAAAAGAACAAATTTAAATCGCCGCTTCATTTTGCTATGTCTAGTAAACTCATCTACATGGCTCCGTCAATGGCGCCATGTAGTCTAGACATACCCCTAGTGACCGATGAAGTGGGAAAAGCTGAAGTACTCAAATCAAAAAGGGGGCGTGATGCCGAAAAGTTTGGGAACCACTGATCTAATCAAACTACAAGGGCCAGAGTGATGGATGGTATCTAAGTAATATTAGAGGGTGGTAACCTGACAATGTCAGAGGGTAGTAACTGGCCACATGAGCAGTGAGGTGTGATTTGTTTTTACCTGTATATAAAGTGGTGTTTTTGGTGGGGTTAGGGTTAGGGTTAGGGTTAGGTGTGACGTAGGGGGCAGTGGAAATTTCCAACTGATTGAGTCATTCCATTGTGTACATATGCGTGGTGATTGGGTAGAGTCTACCGACAACTGTTACTGTACTTCATTTAAAGGTTAGGGTTAGGGTTAGGGTTAGGTGTGACGTAGGGGGCAGTGGAAATTTCCAACTGATTGAGTCATTCCATTGTGTACATATGCGTGGTGATTGGGTAGAGTCTACCGACAACTGTTACTGTACTTCATTTAAAAATAAACCTAGCCTGGCACCTTCCATCCTTCTCTGAGTTGTGGTCTTTGGGGGCCCTCACGGGGTCTGCTGTGGGGACTAAGTGCACAAGTTGACAATGCCCTATATCCCTGAGCACACACACAAGGGCTGTGTCTACACTGGGCCACTTATTCCGGAAAATCAGCCGCTTTTCCGAAATAAGCTGCGAGCTGTCTACACTGGCCCTTGAATTTCCGGAAAAGCAATGACGCTCTGCTGTACAAAATCAGCCGCTGTTCCGGAAAAACTATTCTGCACCTGCTCGGGCATAAGTCCTTATTCCGGAACACTGTTCCGGAAAAGGGCCAGTGTAGACAGCCCAGTAGTCTTTTCCGGAAAAAAGCCCCGATCGCGGAAATGACGATCGGGGCTCTTTTCCGGAAAGCGCGTCTACATTGGCCACGGACGCTTTTCCGGAAAAAGGGCTTTTCCGGAAAAGCATCCTGCCAATGTAGACGCTCTTTTTCCGGAAATACTTATAACGAAAACTATTCTGTTTTAAGCATTTCTGGAAATTCATGCCAGTGTAGACGTAGCCAAGCAGCCTTCTGGTTATCATCATCAATGGAGCCAGAGGCCTGTGAGGACACCGCGGCAGTAAATCCTGACCCCACTGAATAACTACACTGTGTTTTTGATTACTGTGCTCATTCTTCACGTGTTCCGAACTTCTCCAGATCTCCACCCCATTGCTCTTTGCACTGTACTAAAGTCTAGGTATATGACATCCATTTCCAGCAGAACTCTCCGTTCATGTCACTGTAACAAGAGGAGCCAGGCCCGCTGTCATTTCCAGCAGAACTCTCCGTTCATGCGACGTCAAGGCAATAGAGGTGCAGGGCTTATCTACAATCCGCAGCATAAGGCGGGAGGTGTTTTCCATGCTTGCCACAGCAGTTGGAAGCTAAGTAGCGTCCATGCTTGCCTTGCTATGGCATCTGCACAGATAACCAGGGGGAAAAGGGTGCAAAAAGATTGTAGGCCATTGCTTCTGAGAAGGGAGGGAGGGAGGAGATGACTACGTGAGGCTGATGACGGGTACCTAGATCCACTCATGGCAATGTTTCTGTCCCATTGGGCACTGGGAGCCTAACCCAGAATGCAAAGGGGCAACAGGAACGGTGGGGATAGCTACCCACAGAGCAGTGCTGTTAAAGTCGAAGGTAGCCACACCACTGGGGTCACACTCTGTCGACTTCATGCACCCAGTGAGGACACGCACCTTTGATTTTGTAAATTTGGGGGCTAAAAACATCGCCCTTATTAAATTCGACCTAATTTCATACTGTTGACTACCCTAAGACAGGTAACTTGGGCGACGCAAACAGCAAACCTTACTGTGGTGTGTTCCACGTAGTAAGGTTGGTTCTCCTGTCGACTCCGCCTACTCTTCTCGTCCTGGTGGAGTACAGGAGTCGACGGGCGAGTGTTCGGAGGTTGATTTATTGAGTCTAAGGAGACCCGATAAATTGACCACCGTTGGATCAATCACTGCTGTGTTGATCTATACCATAGGGGAGACAAGCCCTAAAAAGTGAACTGAGAGGTGAGTCAGACGCTGTATGATTGACATTGAGGTGCCTAGATCACTGATATTGCCTCTTTTTGACAATTGCAACAAATATTGTACAAATTTGCAATATACTATCATCCTGTTTACATCCACCTGTCCTCACCGTGTCTGAAGTTAGCACTATTGTGTGCATACCTGCATTTCAAAGCTGTTTGTTCCTGAGGTAACACCACAAGGTAAGTTACATCCAGTCTGGCCAGCCCATTGTGACTGGACTATTCAAACTTGATGACCCATTAAAGGCAATTAATTCTCATAATGAGCCGCAGAAGAGGCCCCTCCCAGCACAATTTATGAGGAGCAATAGACAAAAGCACAAGGGTGACTTGGGCTTTTTAGAACCAGCTTTTTATATACGGCCTCAAACAGGGTCAGTAACTGAGCAACTTACAACTGTTGTCAACAACCTTTCACTAACAGAGAATTTGGCAACAGGCCCCTGGACAGGCTGTGCTCGGTGCGGTTGTACAGAACAGCCTCCATGTGACACCCGTGCCGTGCCAAGATGGGGAAGATCCCCACCAGCCTCAATGCTGCTCCATCTGCTGCACCCGCCCTGCATCTCAGGGGCCCCCAAACTTGGCGAGCTTCTCGCAGATATAGAGGTCCCGCTTGGCACAGCTCTGAGGATAGAACTTCTCCTTCTGCATATACACGCAGCCCTTGGCTCCTGAGACCTGGAACCTGCCAAGCACAAGTCCTGTTTCACTGCCAGGCAGGGGGGACAGCCACAGGCCGGGGCTTTTCCCCCTTCTCGGCTGCGTTGGGTAGGAATTGTTTTCATCGGAACGTAAGAACGGCCATGCTGGGTGGGTCCATCTTGCTCAGTGTCCTGTCTTCCAACAGTGGCTGATGCCAGGTGCCCCAGAGGGAGCGAACAGAACTGGGAATCCTCAAGGGAATATCTACACTGACGTTATTTCCATATACCCTAGCGTGTCTACACAGCAAGCCATTATTTCGAAATGATGGTGAGCCGGAGGACTCCGTACTCCGATTCCTGTAACCCTCCTTTCTCAAGGAGCCAGGGAAGTCGGAGGACGAGTGCTCTTCCTTCGACTTCCTGCTGTGTCGGCAGCGCCAAAAGCCGAGGGAAGCTATTTTGATTTCCGCTGCGCAATTGGCATAGCAGAATTTGCGTCGCTGAATTTGTTTTTTTGCCCTGCTGTAGACGTACCCCAAGAGATCCCGCCCCCTGATGCCCACCCCCAGCTTCTGACTGACAGTAGCAAGGGACACCATGTTGTGATGTTGGGGGCATCTTGTTGGTCGCTAGGCCTGGGCTGTCCCCTCCGGGCCCTGTCTGTGAGTACGGCCCAGGAGGGGGCAGACACTGCCCTGACCCGTTCTGGCTGGGGGAAGGGAAGGAGGTGGGAACCAAGGAAGGACGTCGGGGGAGGAAGAGTTAGACTGGGGCTGGAAACATGATGGAGACAGCCTAGGGAGGGGGCTTGGAGACCAGGGCCTCAGGCACCCGCCTTAAGAGATCTGGGGCATCCTAGCCCCCCTCCTAGTACCACATCACGTCTGTGCTGTGCTGTATTCTGGAAACTCAATAAACCCCTCTATTCTGCTGGTGGGTGGAGACTGTTCTGGCTGCTACGGGGGTGCAGAATCGGGGGAACGCCAGCGACGCCGTCACACACGTACATTTGAAAGCGCATTTGTAACCCACACACCAAGGCTATGTCTACACTGGCGCGATCTTGCGCCAGAGCTATGCAAATGGGGCTAAGCGTGGAATATCGCCGAGCCTCATTTGCATATCTAATGAGCCGCCATTTTTGCAGAAGGGGCTCTTGTGCAAGAAGAAGCTGCCTACACGGCCCCTTCTTGCGCAAGAAAACCCCTCTTGCGCCATGCTGTTATGCTGATTATTTTCAGGAAGAACGGCCTTGCGCAAGAGGGGTTTTCCCTCGCAAGAAGGGGCAGTGTAAACAGCTCCTTCTTGCGCAAGAGCCTCTTCCGCAACAATGGCGGCTCATTAGATATGGAAATGAGGCTCGGCAATATTCCACGCTTAGCGGCTCATTAGATATGCAAATGAGGCTCGGCGATATTCCACGCTTAGCCTCATTTGCATAGCTCTGGTGCAAGACCGCGCCAGTGTAGACACAGCCCTAGCGTGGTTCACTGGCTCATGCAGTGGCACCTAGACCACAGCAACAGATAAGCTCAAGAGACCTAAAGGCCCAAGGCTGACTACCAGCTGGCTTCATCGCTCAAGCTGTAGCAGCAGCGCCTACAGGAAACTCCAGAGGTCCCAGGTTCAAATCTGTCTGATGGCAGTTAAGCATTCACCATAATGCACAAAGGAAGGGGGCCAGACTGACAAACCTCCATGGGTCTTGCCTCTTAAGTGGGAAGAAAACCAAATCTATACACTGGGGCTGTGTCTAGACTGGCGAGTTTTTCCGCAAAATTATCTGATTTTGCAGGAAAACTTGCCAGCTGTCTACACTGGCCGCTTGAATTTCCGGAAAAGCACTGACGATCTCCTATAAAATCATCAGTGCTTTTCCGGAAATACCATGCTGCTCCTGTTTGGGCAAAAGTCTTTTTCCGAAAGACTTTTGCGCAAAAGGGCCAGTGTAGACAGCATAGTACTGTTTTCCGCAAAAAAGCCCCGATTGCGAAAATGGCGATCGGGGCTTTTTTGCGAAAAACTGTGTCTAGATTGGCCACGGACGCTTTTCCGCAAAAAGTGCTTTTGCGGAAAAGCATCCTGCCAATCTAGACGTGCTTTTCTAAAAATGCTTTTAACGGAAAACTTTTCCGTTAAAAGCATTTTCGGAAAATCATGCCAGTGTAGACGTAGCCTGGCACTTTACACCAGCAAGGCTAGGCACTGAGGAGTCAGGCCTGCTTTGTATGTGGTTCCCACCAGGCCAAGGTGAGTGAGTTTATTCAACACACTTCCAGAGGTGAAAGAGACAAGCTTGAGAGCTGCACAGAGCCCTTCTTCAGGGCTGGGGAAGATACTCAGGGCTGACCTACATGGCCAAGTTACTGCACTAAAACTTTCTCACCCCCTGAGCACACCAAGTTTCGTGGCAGTGTACTCGGGCTGCCTATACCCCTCATGGAGGTGGGTTACACACAGTCCTGGAAAAGCGCTTTCCCTGTGCTGTGGCCACACAGTTGCGTTAAAGGTGGATTGTTGTGGACAGACCTGCTCAGAAACCAGCTGGCCATTTTCCAATATTCTCCTGTCGTTAAATGGAAGAGAAACCTGCTGTTGGTTGTAACTGTGAACCCCATGTAGGGTGGAGAACCTGCACCATTCACAGCCTTCCCTGGTTTGCACGCCGGTGATGGGCCCGCGCACGGAGGAGCAACGTACAGCTGGAAGGAGAAGCGGGAGCCATCTGCCCACGTCCAGTTCCCGATGTTATTGTCATAGGTCAGCCCCGTCCAGAAGGGCGAGTAGTAACGATCTCGCTGGCGTGGGTAGAAGTGCTTGGAGGTCTCGCGTTGCAAGAACTCCTGCTCCAGACAGCAAAGGACAATGATCAGCCCCTCCCTGAAAAACCCTGTTCTCTTTGAAGGCGTCTGGGGGAGATGAGAGGCGGAGCCCTTCTGGAAATCAGGCCAATAATTTAATTGTCTTAAATCAAGATAGAGGTGTCTCATGCTAGGCTTCTGGTCTCCGGGACCCTCCCAGGACATGCACTGCGACCCCAGATCCCCTGGCTTCTAGGGCCTGATTTAACTACCAAACCACCCGACCCCTTTGTGTTGGGCCCAAAGAAGATTATTCTTGGCAGGAAGGAGGAATAAAAGCAGGAACCGCAGACTCAGGAGCTACCAAGCCAGAATCACCAAAGGCCCATCCTGTGCAGTAGTTGATTGCCGTGAGGGGCTACTGCTGGGTGCATCCCCACAAGGTGGAAAAAACCTCATATTGCACCTCGTCCACTGTCCACTATGGCAGCATGGAGACCCTGCCGCCAGGACCCCCAGCTAGCTGCTCTGATCCTGCCCAGAAACACAAAGTTCAATGGCCCTGCCCACGTAGAAACTTAGGGCTGGCAGAGACCTCAGGAAGTCATCGAGTCCAGCCCCCTGCCCAAGGCAGGTTAACCACGTCTCCTAGTTCACGATGCTAAATGCACTTCTCAGGCAGGCAGGAATCTCCTCCTGAACTCGGGCTCCCTAACTGATTTGCCTCGGTGTCCCAGGTTCCAGGAACTCCTCAGTAGTGAGCTCCATAAATTGCTATTTCACCCTGCTCCTTGCTTGCCAGGAGGGGCGGCGGGTGTGCTCCGCTGAGGAAGGTAAGCCCTAGCCCAACCCCTTCCACCCAAGGCCCCGCCCCTGGAGCCAAGCCCCACCCACCTAGCCCAATACTTCCTGGCCAGGGCTGTCGTGCTGAGGTCCTAGCCCCATCTCTCTCTGGTGGTCGGGGAGCCGGGTTCCAGGTTTCCTGGTAGCTGGGGTGCGTAGGCAGTGTTGGGAAGGCTGTGCCTTCCTTTGCCTGCATTACCCGCCACCCCTGCTTGCTAGCTCCCAAAGCTCAGTCATTTGCAATGGGACTCCCCAGTCCTGGCGCTAACTAATGAGGGGGAAACCTTCTTTAAATGCCCTTTGTGCTCCTGAAAGGACCTGCGATGACAGAAGCAGAGACCAGCCTCTGAGGACAAGCTGAGGGTGTTTGCTCCGATAAGCCAGGCCTTCCTTGGGCTCCAAAAAGGACGATAGCAAGGAAGTTAACTGGTCTCTAAAAAGTTCCCAGTTAACACCACTGGGAACTCAATGGAGGGGGTTGCTCCCGACCTGGGTCTGGGCTGGACCTGGTGCTCTAGAGGTGAAAGGCCTCATGTTCCAATCCATATCTCCCTGCCAATTGGTCTCTCCTCCCCAGCGTGTCATAGATACTCAGGGTGCATCTAGACTGGCAAGATTTTGCGCAAAAGCAGTTGCTTTTGCGCAAAAACTTGCTAGCTGTCTACACTGGCCGCTTGAATTTGCGCAAGAGCACTGACTTTGTAATGTACAAAATCAGTGCTTCTTTCGCAAATACTTTCCCGCTCCCACTCGGGAAAAAGCCCTCTTGCACAAGAATACTTGCACAAGAGGGCCAGTGTAGACAGGGAAGAACTGTTTTGCGCAAAAAAGTCCCGATGGCTAAAATGGCGATCGGGGCTTTCTTGCGCAAAATCGCGTCTAGACTGGCCATGGATGCTTTTGCACAAAAGCACTTTTTGCGCA